CTTCTTCTGGACAATTATCCTAATTTTACCAGTCTTCCCCTAGACATTTAAGAAAGCTCATTCCACAGTGAAATAAACAAAACATTATGGACGAGTAAAGGAAGACATCCTGCAGGAGGGAGAAGAGAAAAAGGAGTTGTCTGGGGTGTGATCCAGCTTTCCCAGGAAGTCTCTCTCTCTAGGTTAGACAAAGACGAATGGAGAATATGAGGAGAGGGCTAAAATAAGGGAGTTGGAAGGGATGGAGAAGAGGTAAGAAAGAATAAGTGGAGGAAGATGAAAAGGCTTCAGATGGAGGGACATGAAGGCAAAAGAGGAGAAAAGGTATGGCAGTGTAAATAAGTAAAGGTGAGAGGTGGAAGGAAGGAAGCCAAATGAAGAGGAATTGGGGCTGTGAAGGAGTGAAGGAGTAAGGGATGAAGGAGAGTGGGCAGACGAGATGACAGGGAGGTGAGGCTAGAGAGGAAGGTTAAAAAGGGAAGAAATGAGGAAGGAAGAGAGCAGGGGGTGGCAAAACAAAACCTGCGTAGAGTAAAAATCTAAAAATACACAGGAGAAACAAAGACAGAAATGGCTATATGGCTATACAGAGCAAGGTCACTGAACAGAAGAAATTTAATGAAGCAAAGACAGAAGAAAAAAGAGAAGATGGCGAGTGCAGGCTGACAAGTGGAGGAGGAGGCAGAGTACGTTAGAAAAGAAAGGAAGAGATGAGAACAAAAGGAGGCATAAATAAATGGGGAGAGTGACTGAGAGGATACATACAGTAAGTCTGGCTAATGGGTGTGTTGTTTATATGAAGGATTAAGAGAGAGATGCAGAGAGAGAGAGAGAGAGAGGGGGCAGAGTTGGGGAAGGAAACAGAGGAAACAGATAAATATGTCAGAGGGGTTTTCTCTCCACCACATCCCTCACTCCCTCTCCTCACACTGCTTCACTTAGAAACACTGGATTATCGATCCATCTCCTCCCTTCATCCACTTTCAGTCCTCTCATCTAGCTTTTCTAAGGCAACATCTTCCAAGCCCCTCAGACTAAGATAAGGTGACCCTCAGATGCTTCATAAATACAAGTTCTGCATTGCTAATCCTCACACAGTAGATGAAGAGCAAACTCCTGAACAACAAAGTGAATCTCTTCGGTGTAAAATATCTCTACAATCCTTTCACAGAAAACACTAAGAGCAGTGTAAGTTCCAGCTTATCGAATCTGCTGGAGTCCTTCTTCAGCTGTCAGCCTTTTATTTAGTTTCCTGTAACGACACAGCAGCGACCGACTATTACTGAGCTACCAGAGGTCAACGTTGATCTTTTATCGCGCTCTGCTCTCCCTGTGGCTCCCTGTTCATTCCTCTCGTCTCTTCCTGACCTCACTGTAGACCAGCAGCAGTGAGTACATCATTGATAGTGCATCATTTCACATGAACACACACACACACACACACACACACACACAGTCTGCCCTTGTAGTGACACTCCTACCTAGAGACCGGCTGGTATCAGATGCTAAGCTTCTTGTCCAATAAACCAGTATTTAAATTCCAGTCTGGCACGCACACACGTTTGCACTCCTATATTTCTGAGAACCATCAATTATAAAATATATTGCCTCGCACCTATCCATCATAAAGAGATTACATATCTGCAGCCCTTAACCTTGAACCTAGAAATAAAATAGGTTGTTCTTGCAAGGATAGAAGTACAAGAGCGTGCACACACACACACACACAGGTAGGCACGCGCTCCATCTTCCTAGTCTTCACCTAGGGGAAAGCCACAGATTAACAGCTTTGAATGGCCTTGCCAACATTTGCTGCCACTAGACACACAAGCACGCACATACAGGTATACACACGTGCACAGATGTGTATTAATGATGCTGTCCATATAAACACTAATCACCGTTCCACTCTTGTCAGTCAAACAGGAACCAGCCAGAATATCTGTCCTCACTTTTCATGAATGTCCTCACTCGTACCAGCTAAAACTCAGACTGGTCACACAGACACATGTTAGATGCCGCACAGACTTACACATACACACAAAAATAGAGCACTTGCTTTATATGCCCCAGGAGGTGCTGAGGAAACTGCATTCCCAGCCACTTTATGCATTGGTCAATTTAACACCGCTAACATCAGCATATTAAAAATGCATGTGTGAAGGATGCAAAACCATTTGTGAATGTGTATGTGTGCACACTGGTGGAGCATCAGGGGGTAAAAGCAGTATGGCTTCACATGGACCTGCGCCATCTGGGGGTCCGGGCAGGCCCTCAAACACACCCTCCCAGCAGTCACTACTGTGGAACTTTAGCTTCAGGGAAAATACTCATTCAGCCCTGTGTGTGTTTACTTTAGGCAGTGGTCAAAAACGCACATGTCTGTCTTGAATCAGCCTATAATAGTTGTTGTACTGCCTGGGCCCACCACTGTGTTGCTCCACAACTGTGTGCGCAAGCATTTTGATGCAGAGTAGCTTCCCTTGAAGAGTGGCATTATTACACCGTTGTCTACTGTACATAATAGAACCATTTATACTGTGAATGTATATTACACACTCAATTAACCTTCACAGAGTTTCTGAATGGGAGTCAATCACACAGAAAGGAAACAGGGAGCAAGGAATATATCACTGGCAATACAAGACTATGTCAGCCGCACTGTGGTAACACAAAAAAAGCATCTTTTTGAGAAACTAAAGAAATATAACAGGATTGTCAGAGCTTGGTCAACAGTGCCAATAGCCCAAACGCAGCAAGGGAGAAGGAAATAAGTACTGAGCATCTTGTACTGAAACACAGTGACATTTGAGATGTGCTGCTTAGTTACAGACTATTTGACAGTCTTGTTTATTGGAAAGCATTCAGTATTAGAAATGCAAAGACACAGCACTTCCTCACATCTTGGAGAAATTCACATGTCCAAAAGGGGCCTTGGATACTCTCAAATGTGCATCTATAGCAGTTGAAATAACAGTTACTGACAACATCTCCTTACTCACATAGTCTCATCATTCTGAAACTCCAGCTTGCCAGCGGCTAGTTCGTAGTCCTCCCCTCCTTTAGCAGTGCCGTCAATGGTTCGATAAGGAACAGCCACCAGGCCTCGGGCCCCTGAAGTCCTGAGCACCTTCACCTCCATGACACCTATGCTCTCATTCACCCTCTGACTGGCACTCTCAAAGGTAAAGATACCTGAGAAAAAAGAATAAAAGAAAATGCAGCACTTTATAGGACACAAACAATAAAAAGATGTGACAGATGAGGTTGATAAACACCTACACTCTCACTTGCTACCCTAGTCTCCAAGGTGTACAGTATGTATAGTATTAGGATAATAGATTGCCACCTACTCTCTCTAGATAAAAGATAATAGGCATTAGGTAAATGCCCACGCTCCACTGATTGTTCTGCACTTTAATTCTCTTTGGGCCTTATCAAAGTCCTGTAAATTAAAACGCTGCAACACTGAGTGGACTGGGACTTCATAAACCTTGCACTAAAAATTAGAGGATGGGATGGAAAGGACTGGGATTGTGGCCAGTAACTTTCCGTTGCTAATTTACCCAGTGGGGCATTTCAGATCAGCTTTAACATATGGAAACCAAATATGCTGTACAGTATGTTGTGAGTTACAGGGTCTTCTTACCCGCATGATCGTCGTCATAAATGGTGACTGTGGCTGTGTGGTTGTCACCCAGCACAGCTTTGGGGGTGGCACTGGCATCCAGAGGGGCAGTGCCAATCTCAGGGCATCCAACCACTCGAGGGTTACTGAGATGGACGTAGAAATACTCATCTTCCTCAAAGATGTCATCATCAATAACTCCGACTGTGATCTCTGGTAAAAGAATCATGTGTCACCTTAAGATGTTGATTTTGGTGCATAGTAATAATGGTGCCTCTCTTCATGCAAAATATTTTCTATAATAAACCTAAAATCATATTTTTTGTTGAAGCCAGTTGAAAAACAATCTGCTTCAGGTGCCGCACACAACTTGTACTATTTGAGCCTCAATTTCAATGACATGTTTTTTAAAAATATGTCAAAAATTATTGCTGTCACTGTTGCTTTTACCTTTGAGGGTCTCTCCGGGCTTAAACAGCAGTGTTCCCTCTGCAAACTCATAATCCGAACCCGCATTTGCTGTGCCATCCTCTGTGCGATAATCCACCTGGGGGATAAAGGAACACAGAGAGATGATAAGTGGGGCGAGATGAGGGGGGAGGGAGAGCGAAAAGAGCCATCAAAGATGAAACAGAAGTGAGCCGATATGAGAAGGGCACATAATCACGTAGCCAGGAAACAGAGAAGACAAGGGTGGCACAGTAAACAGAGGAGAGGCATTTGCAGAGATGGGAACAGAGGGTGAGAAAGAACAAAAACAGCTTCATTAAACTGAGCCCTCTGGTCAGATACAGTCTGATAATACAGACTTTGAGGACAATATAACAAAACGTTCCCTGTAACCTCTTCTTTTATCTTCATGCTCTCTCCATCTGCTCAGTTTACTAATCCTCTCTTCTCTAAACCTATACACTTACCTTTATTACTGTTGTAGTCAGACAGCCATCAGATTCTGTCACTTGTTATATACAACTGGAAAAAACAGATTACTTTAAAATAATTGGTGGTTTTTTGAAGGTCAGGCTGAATCAGTGAGTATTATTGTTGTCATTCCCATGGTTTATTTTTAGCTTGTCATCAAATGTGTATAAGTGACACAGCTTTTACACATTTTCCCTTAAAACAGCTGATATTGTTAGGACTACTGCACAGGTTTTAGACACAAGGAGTGCTGCTTTTAATATTTTAGATGAAAATGTAAGAATTTATGACTTTATATAGCAATAAAAGTAAAAAAAAACTAAATGAGTCAGCTTTGATGTCACATAGATATTGCCTTTAAGTCATTCATATTTCTTGGCTAGGATTGAATTTTTAGGAGTTGTATCACTATAGGTTCAAATTAATGGTATAAAAGTAGGAATTCAAGTGCACCAAAATATATTAACTATGCTCAAACAACAATATGAACATAAAACATGAGGTAAACAGATGCTACAATGCTACAGAACATTTTAGCATCATTTTAGCATTGTTGTTAGCCATTGTTAGCTCATTGTTTTGGTTTTCTATTTTACTCCTGTTGCTGTCAGTTACAGCAGACAGCTTTGCTTCCAAAAACCCACTTCACATCTGCCCAACAGCAGCTGAGCTAGCTAGTGAACTTAGAGCAAAACAAAGCTAAAAAGAGAGCGAACTGTGCACTTTTATTCATTGTGTTAAAATGGCTAAACCTTTTGAGAAGCTAAATTATTAGGTAGATTTCTTTGACATTTATTGCATTACTGTTTGATTGTATAAGAGCATTGGGGATTGTGAAGAGAATTGTGAGAATCAAGTAGCTTCATTGAGAAATACTGCTTGGTGAAGATAATCATTTCTTCATCGGTAATGAGCAGCTCTGACACAATGCCTGAAGACCCTGTATATGAGATAAATCAGCCTTCAGTAAGCAGCAGACTGAGGCCATGTCATCAGCACGCCTCTACAGTCAACACTCATGTTGCACTGTAGTTTTATTTGAATACAAAGAGATGAATGAAGGAGAAAGCCTTGCAAATCCCCTGTAGAAAAACTAGCAGATTAGATATCATTCTACTGACACAGGCCCTCTGTGGGAGATTTTAAAGAAAATCTCTTATTCAGAATATCAGGCTCCTGTCAAGCCCTAGATCAATGAGCCTTTCCAAAAGCTTTTGTGTTTGAGCTGAAATCTAAAAATCTGCAAAGTGTCTTCCCTTGAGTCTCCCAGTTCTGCTCTATTGTCCTCTCATCACCCACTTGTACTCCTTTACCAGCATCAGCCAAGAAAGAGGACAACAATGCTCAAAGCCTCAGCAGGTGAGAACATCTGATGCCTAAGATGAGACCACAACTAGGAAATGCACCAAAGATATGAGTGAACTCACTCCAAGATGTTTTTTCCTCTGTCTGCTTCTGTCTGACGCAGCATGGCTTCACTCCCTCAAACACACAAACTTTAATATCTGCTTTCTGAACAATCTACTGTCTTGCACACACACACACACACACACACACACACACACACACCTTGACAGTAACTCCAGGGTCTCCTCCATGCCTGGCTACAGTCAGTTTCAGGGAGCCACAGTTTTCGAAACACTGGTACAAGGAGGGTTCAAATTCCATCCTGATGGTGTGAGGGTCGTCCTCCTGGGCCTGAATCTCATGTCCGCACCCCCTGCACAAAACACACACACACACACACACACACACACACACACACACACACACACACACTGTCAGGTCAAATGTGTTCAGGCTAAATGCATATGGGGGGATTTCATGCATGGGTATCTCACTTTGCGAGCCTGGTCGGCAGCGTGCTTCTTGAGGATGTTGCCAGCTCCAATCATCATCCTGGTTGCTTGGATGCGGTAGAATGCTCTGCTCTTCTGCTGCTGCATCAGGACCTGATCCACAAAACCACCCGATTAACAAAGTGATCTACTGTTTTATCATGTTAATATAAACTCCTTTTCCCTGATTAGTCCACCTTTTAGAGAATCTTTTATTTTAAAACAAGCAGCTGCAATTTACAGGTTAAGCAATGATTCTACCTCCCCACAGACAGGTTAGAGGTCAGAGGTCTCCTGGATATTCACAAGGTTGACTGCTTAAAGTTTAGACCCAGATCCTGCACTTGAAGATGAGGAATTTGTTTTAATTTCTCTGGCGTTTGTGGTGTTATACCTTCATTCATGTCATTAAAAAGCTTTAAATGTCTGTGCTTTTTGACAGAAAAACTGCATGAATTAGCGAATTAATAATACGTAAGTGGGAAAACATTGACAAAGAGTGATTCTTATTTCCTTTAAGCCAGGGGTGGCCAATTCCAGTCCTCGAGGGCCGTTGTCCTGCTTGTTTTCCAACTATCCCTGCCTGACCCGCTGCTGATTACTGCAGCGTGTTCTTTCATGAAGAATAATCGGAATCAAATATCAATTTTCAAACATTTATTATCATAACTAAACAGACCATCGAATAAAGCAATTTACAGAGCTCTGGGTTCCATCTCTATCTGAAGGCCTGACCTCAACAGCAAAACCGTTCAACCTGTCTTCAGGAGGAGAAGGAACGCTGTCCTCCTCCATTCAGTTGTTTTTATACAATTTCAAATGTGCCCTTGTAAACTGGTCCGGTCCTCTCGTGCTGTTCTATTGGTCCATGTATCCATCCGTCCTCCTCCTGCGTCCTTTCTGCTCCAATGGGAAA